GTCTGGTAGTTGTTTTTCTCTTTGGTGGGAGGGGGTTCCACAGGGTGGGTGCCACCACCGAGAAGGCCCTCTGCCTGGTTCCCTGTAACTTGGCTTCTTGCAGCATGGGAGCCACCAGAAGACCCTCCACACTGGACTGCAGTGTCTGAGCAGAATGATGGGGGTGGAGATGCTCCTTCAGGTATACTGGGCAGAGGCCAAGGCATTTGGCATGGTGGTTCCTGGGTTTAAGGAGTATGTTTTGGTCTATGTTTGGCAATTATCCAATGGCATTTTGAACCAACATGGGTACTGAACTTGTCAAAACTGCACAGATTTGTACACCTCTTAAGATATAATAACTGCCATGCCCCAGCTAGAGGAGTCATCTTTGAGGAGGCCCTGAGGCGCCTCAAGGCAAATATTACAAAGGAAAAGACTGTGTCAACTGAAACTGAGAAAGAGAGGAGATACAGGCCTTCAGGGGTCTTGGAAATCCATTATATTTTCTAAGACACAAAGGGCCAATGCACAGAATGAAAAGTTGAGGGTGAGCTATCACTGAGATTGGGGAGGGGGGTGTTACCAGGGCCTAATGGTGCAAACTCAGGCAGCAGCCAGCTGCTGGATTTCCTGTATGAAGAACAAGGATTCCTTGGGAGTAAATGGCTCATGAACAGCCCAAACATGTCTGGAAAGCCAGATGGCCTGCAGCTCTGCTTTGGGTGTGCCTCTGAAGTCTCATGGTTAAAACCAGTGCCTTTTTTCTAGATTAAAAGGTCCAGTACTGCCCCCTCATCACCCCCTCACCCTGTGTCTCCCTCTCTCCCTTGCCCCTGCTTCCCTGAATGTCCTGCAAGCCTTTCTGTTTGCCCACCGCAGCAGAAGCCAAAGTTAGTTCAAGAAAGGGTTGTAAAGTCAAAGCTAGTCACACTCCAGAGCGGAACCACTGAAGTGGGCATGAGTAATTAGGTCCACTGACTTAGCAGGTCTACTCTGGGCAGAACTAAGATATCGCCAAAGGGCCACAGAGCACCTTAAAACAAATTATTATGGCAGAAGCTTTGGGTGGACTACTATATACTTCACCAGCAGCCCTCTCCGTATGTCCCTGCATAGTTAATTTCAGATAATTAGGAGTGATGGTAGTGAAGTTCTTTCCAAATAAAGGGCAATAAGCATACAGAAAACTGCCTATTTATTATTTTCACATTAATCAGCAAAATATAATTAATGTCAATGGATACTGGCTGGTATACTTTCTTGTAGCATTTTTTTTTAGTATTTTGTTGCAGGTAACTCATTTTGCTTATGTGATAAAGCTTAGTATAATAACGTTATATAATTTCAAAAAATGGGGTTAGCTATTAACTAAACTGAAATTTATTCCTGATAGAAGCTAAAGGCATCCTAGCAGGTATCAAAATGTCAGTAAAACTTGTAGCCTAGTGTCAATAATGGGCTAGCTAAGTTTGGAGAGGCTTCAAGCTCAGTTTTAGTAGGTCGGTTACTGGACAGTCTGCCACATCTCATTGACTCATAATTGTAGATAAATAGGAAAGCAGAATTTCACTCAAATTACACGTGTGTAAATAAAAGTCAGGGATCGGGAATGGTCATAAAATGGTTGTTGGGGGAAAGCTATTTATTTAATTTATACATCACCCTTCATTCAAGGATTAGAGGGCAATTTAGAATTAAAAAACACAAAAATGAACTGGAGCAGAATGGTAAGGGATTTAAGAAGAGGCCCAGGATGGGCTTTGGAAGCCTGAAGGGAGGCAAGAGTAATAGCAGACATAGGCATCTAGAACAAAGCTAAAGATGCAAGACAGAGGTTCATATAACTGGTGCAAATTACTGAAAGAGACCTCTGTGGAAGCCTTCAAAGAAGAGCTATTGCCAAAATGAGAGATACTTGCAAAAATGAAGTGGCATTTGTTTCTGGACTAGTCTGGAGGCCATAGCTTCAATCCTGAGAAAAATATGAATGACTGCAAAATAAAGGAAGCAATGACCACATTGAAAATTGTTTCCAAACCCTGGATCCAATCTTGAGTGAAGCCTAGGAGCTGGCATGGAATGGAAGTATTATTAAACCAATTGGAACCATTGACCATAGCATCATATGTACAACAGTAGAGCACAAAACATTAGAAACAATAAAATAATAAAGACTCTGGCTAATTAAAGAGGAGGCATTAATTAACAAAGCAAAAGGCTTATATTAATTATCTGTGGTGGAGACGGGCACTCTGCTTTGTTAAAAATCTTCATTTTATAGTACTTTAAACTCTCCATCTTGTTTGTGTGGCACTGGCTATAAAAATGAAACTGAATTCAGCATGGGAATAGAATGCACTGTTTACTTAAAGCTTTTATAGGCAGACACTGCTAAGTGGGAGGTTAACAGAATCCAATATGGCAAAGATTGTTGGTATCATGCAGTGATTATTGGATGAGCAGTTGGAAGAGCTTAGAGCTGAGATGCTTACAATGGTAAATGAAATGGATCAGAAAAGGCCAGACCTTTGGAAAACAATATTGATCAACATCTGCCCTCGGAACCCTCCAACACGGTGATAGTAAAATCCAGGAAAAATCTTATTGAACACCATATTCCCATTTTTTCTCATGAAAGAATGGTGGTGGTTTTGGTTGTCAGGATTTCACATGATTTTGCAAGACAATTTCCCCAAGGAATGGTGCCCAAAAATGTGTGTTTGTGGGCACTGTGCAAGATTGCACGACCCCAACCCTTTAAAAAGGGGGAGGGTTTGAGAGGGGAAATTGTGGTGCAAAATTATGCAAGACCTTGGTGACCAAAAATGCCACTGGTCTCTCATGATAAAAATTGGGATGCCCCAATTTTTCTGAGACACTTGCTGGGTATGCCATACAAGTTTACCAGACTGTTCAGCTTCCACTGTTTTTCCAGTTATTTTTCTGTATATAGCAGAAACAGCAATGTCTGCAGACGGGGAGATGATTATCACCCCTATAATTATGAGCAAACAAACCCCATGAAATGTATGTTCAAGGCCTTGAGAAAATAAACCACCACAACAGAAGTACTTATAAGAGTCTTCTCCAATGCTCAGAGCTGGCCCAAAGCAGAAAGAGCAGGCAAGGCACTGCCATTCTGAGCTCTTATAGTTTTAGGATAAGTTTGCAGTCTTTGGGTGTGCTGTGGTTTCTTCCAGACTAAGCATATTTTGAGTTGCTCGCACGATCTGTTTCTCCCAGCAGTGCCTCACTTATAGATCCTCCTAGTAAAGAAAATACAACTTCTGTGTGCAGGCAGAAAAATTTGCACAATCTTGCAGTCAAGACCTGAGGTGCATTAAACAGAATTTTTTTAAACAAAAAAAAATTAAAAAACATGAAATAGGAGCGGAGGAGATGGATGCAGTCACCTTCTTTCACCAACTGATCAATGTAAAAATGGGGTCACATCTTGTTCAAATTAAGTTGAAACAAGACTCATCTGAATAAAAGTGGCATTGAAGAAAACAGTGACATTTTGTCCCCAAAATGCTAATGTTATTGATACTGCTGCTTGTTTTTCTCCCTCATAGTGTGAGCAAGAGCCATTCCATTCTTTACAGCTTGAAGACCCGATTTGTCCAATGCAAAGTAAGAAACATCACTTCACAGGAGTTTTCTCAGTCAGGAAATCTTGTCATTGGGTTTATTGCTTCTCGGTTCTACATGATGCACTTCCCTACAATTTCATCTGAACAGCCTTCTTTAGCACCCCAGAAGGAACTCATGTAAGTCACTCTCTTTTTCCTCTCCGTAGAATTAATGTTTTTATCTCACAGAAATTAAGAACAGATAATGAAGCAAAAAGAGGTATTTTCCTCTCTTATAATCTGAAATGTAAGATGCAAATCATATGTTGGTACTTCTGAACTTTTATTGGCTGCACTTTCAGCATAGCTGGTTTTGTTTGTTTTATAGTAGATGTAAACCTGTTCCATATTTTATCACTTTATTCTACTGTTACTTTTTTGCAGTCTAGTAATTTTAAAGATCTAGTGTTCCACATTATATGCTTACGTAATTTCTTTCTAGACACCTGATTTTAGAGAGCAGAAGGGCTGCCTTGGCGCAGTGCTTCTTTAAATCTGTTTTTGCTCCAGATTCATTTGTGTAAATAGAGCAAATAAAGGAATATAGCACAAGTTTACAGTGTTTTCTGATTCATTTTTAAATAATGCACATGATAGCCCTACCCTGGAAACATTCCATTGGATGTCCATGAGTTCTAGACTAGAAATATTTCACAGCTCTAGAATGTGTAGAGCATATGAAAATAGTTTTTCTGAATTGTTCAAAAGACTATAAGTCTATCCAAAAATCCTTACAATGGCTTTGTTGCAATGGATTTGCAGTAAAGTACACCTTACACTGCAATTTGTAATGCAGGAAATATTCTGTACACAGCAGATTTTTCTAATGAATGTAGAAGATTGCTCCTACTAAATAAATAGATCCGCCTGTTTTATTTCATGGAGGGGATAAAAAATATGAGAAATCATTTTCTGTGTGCTTCTTTGGTTCTTTCCCCCCATCTGTTTATTATATCTAATCTAATTTGTATTGCAGTGTGGTACCAAAAAACTACCAGGAGGTTCTTGCCATGGTATTTGCTGTAGAGGAGATAAACAAAAATCACCATATTTTGCCTAACATCACGTTGGGCTTCCGAATCTATGATAGTATGCACAGGGTTGTAGTTACTTATAAGCTCTCACTGGACCTACTTTCTCCACGGCATATTTCAGCTCCAAATTATAAATGTGATCGCCAGAACAATTTGATGGCCATTCTTGGAACAAAGTCCCCTGAGCTCACCTTCACTTTGGCCACTATTATAAACATGTACAAGATTCCTCAGGTGGGTGTTTTTGAGGATAGTGCTGAGATTGTGTGAGATATGAGCATACAAAATGCTAAGTAAAGAGTTAATACTCACAAGGACTGCAACATTCTAAGAAAGAATCTTGTGAGGTCATATACCTTGTGCATGAGGCAGTTGTGTAAGTTGGTACAGTTATGTCAGTTAATAACAGACTTTTTGTGTCAGAGACACTGAGCAGTAGGCCTGTTCAGTTCTGCTGCAGTCTGCCTCAAAGTTTGTTGGTCTGTATGAGTTTTAGTCTTAGTGGTAAGCGAAGAGGGGGCTTGGAGGGGCATTTCTCCCTCTCTCCAGCTTGAGCTCCTGCACTTCTTTGGAGAAGAATATCAGATAAACCCTATGACTACTGAGACACCTTTCCAGGAACCAGTGGATTACACCCTAAATTATGTTTATTTAGATTATTTCAAATTAAATGCATCAATATTGCCTTGGCTTGAAATATCCATTGATGTGAACTAAGTGAAACTAGTTTAAGAATGCATCTAACCCATTGCTTCTAATGAGACAGTCATCTAAATATATCCTGCTGCTGCTGCTGCTGTTGTTGGTAGTAGCAGTAGTAGCAGTGGTATTAGTAGTAGTAATTAAATTTGTATACTGCCCTTCATCTGAAGATGCTATCATTATTTTCCCCTGGTAAATGAAACATTCATTTAAACCAAAGTAGTGGCTGTGGACAAAAATAATCCATATTAACAATGCATACCCTTAATCCACACATTTTCTGTGCTTTTCATATCATATATGTGTTTGCTTTTAGTTCACCTATGCCTGTCTTGACTCAAGGGTGACTGAAAGAAGACAGTACCATTCCCTGTACCAGATGGTCCCTAATGATGTTCATGAGTACAATGGGTTGCTCAAGTTACTTTTGCATTTCAAATGGACATGGATTGGTCTCTTTACTATGAAATACATTACTGGAGAAATTTTTTTGGAAGCATTAGTTCCCCAGCTTACCCTGAATTACATCTGTGTTGATTTTATACGTAGAATATGGACATTGGCTTATGCTGAAGGAATGACGGATTTGCTCCTTAGTGAATTTAATAAAATTTCAATTGTCATGACAAGCAAAGCCAATGTTTTTGTGGTCTATGGTAGTTCCATAGTGATGGACATTTTGATCGGGTATCTTCATATGGCACAACTTCCTATAGGTAAAGTATGGCTTGTGACAAGTCATTGGGATTTCAAAACCACCAATGAAAGGAGGTGGAATATGCACCATTTACAGGGTGCATTATCTATATCTCTACATTCAAATGAACCCCTGGGATTCAGGACATTTCTTCAGAGTCTGAATCCTTTTGAGAAAAAACAAAATGATTTGATCAAGGATTTCTGGGAAAAGACCTTCAAGTGCTCATTGAAAAATAATAATGTAGGTGAAGAGCCTAAGAAACGTTGCACTGAGGAGGAGAAATTGGAGAGTCTTCCATTACAAATCTTTGAAATGAGCATGACTGGCAGCAGCTATGCTGTGTACAATGTTCCTCACGCAGTGGCACATGCTCTACATGCTATGTATCAATCTAGATTCAAACAAAAATCACAGGTGGCTAGAGTGGATTTGCAGAATCTGCAGCCATGGGAGGTAATTTTATCCACAGCACAGTATTTTCTGCTCTTGGGTGGCCTAGAACACCATATTATTCCACAGCTGTGTAAAAAAATAATAATTAAAATCTCATGTACATAAACAGATCTTACATTTAAGGCTTTTTCTTTCCTATCAAATAGCTTGGTGAGAATGGCTGGCTTCCCTGTTTGCTGTGTTATACATAGCACTTTCACTAATAATTCATCCACTTTTATATCATACCTCCTAAATGAGCAAATATTGGTCTGGTTGTCTTCCCCTACTGACGTCTCTGATAGACCCTATGTATAGGTTGAGTATACAATTCTGCATTTTCCAGGGCTGCTGATAACATTCTCACTGCTGGCTAATATACCAGGAACACTTATTTAAAGAAAGAAACAGGAGGATTTTTTTACTTTTTCATCTTTTATTAGAAAGCATTCTCATCATGTTGAGTTTTTGCCTGCACTTGAAAAATTATTCCTTTGTCTTCATTGATGCATTTGGATACTTCTGAACCTATTGTTGTCCAGTTTTGTGTGATGGATCCTAAGAGGGATTAACAGGTTTTTGACACTTTTACTGAATCAGGTGGAGGATCAGCCACCTCCAAGTATGCAGAAGTGATGACTCCTAATAAATTAGCTGCCAGAGACCAGGTTGCCTACCTGAAAAATAACTATTACTCAGGTGTGACAGGCTGTTCCTCAAAGACCAAATTTCTTATGCTATGCTGATGACCTGCAGTGGGTGTGGCTCTGAAGACCCATAGTTTTAATCTGGCAGTTTCTGGTAGAGAGTGATGGCACAACTTCCTTACATGAGTTCATTGGCTAGGATAGTAAGCAAACTTTGCATGATAATTCCTAAGATTGAGAACCTAGTTTTTGTCTATGTTTCGTTACAATTGGATGCAATTTTAAATCAAGAACTGAACCTTTCAAAACTTCGCTGTTTTTAAACAAAACTGCCAATATTCTGTAGTATTTTACGAATTAACTTTAGAATTATTTTTTATGGTGAAACTAGATTAAGGGTTTTTTATTTCATAAAATGTCTGGACTGGCTACACACACACAACTAGTGCACACCTCTCTGAAAATTATGGTTGTATTCACCACTCTGAGGATTCAAACATTTTACCCCTTTCTATATTTTTTGAATGTAGCTCCATCCCTTTCTAAGAAATCTCACATTCAACAACAGTGCTGGAGAGACAATACAGTTTAACGAACATGGAGAGATAATGGCAGGATTTGATGTGACCAACTGGGTAATGTTTCCAAATCAATCTTTTGGTAGCGTCAAAATTGGAAGGCTGGATCTTCAAGCTCCTCCAGGCAAGGAGTTAACCATTCAGGATGAACGCATTGTGTGGCATAGAACATTTAACCAGGTGAGCTAGGAAGACTTGTAAATCTTTTTCTCCCAAATAACTGGAAATGGATTGTTGAAATGTGCCTGATGACTTTTATTTCCATATTGTTACATACACTCCAATTACTGCACCCCATTCTGCAATCAGCAAAAGGTTTCAAGACCTCCAACATGTACCCTGGGTTGGTTTCATTTAAAGAGGGTCACTGGAGACTCAGGAAATGCTTGCAAAGTAAGGCTAATCTGTAGATATATTCACAGTAAGCATAAGAAATTGGTTCATAGCCCTAATTTCCATTGATTTCACATCCTTCCTCCCATGATCCCAGGGATGGTCAGAGATAAAACATCAGCAAATCAATCAAATGCAACATTCATAATACAGAAATAAAACAAGAACTAATAATTTAATTGTGCACAGAAAATAAAAAAGGCAAAGAATAAATGAATAGCAGCTGGCCTTCTGAAAGAAGTGTCTTTTCAATTGCCAGCAAAAGAGTAAATGGCTGGCAGCAGAACTACTTAGGAAGGGGGATTCAAAAAATGGAACATTAAAACTAAGATGGCCCTGGGATATGCTGCTTACTCACAGTCTTCAGCTAGTAATTTTATAAAATACGAGCAGGAAAATATATGGGGATATCATTCCCCATCAAATCTCCCCAGGCTCCAATGGGATTAGAACCACCAATATCACAGCATTGTATTGTCCTACTAGGGAATTCAAGTCTATGTCTCTTTCAGAATCAGTTTCAGGAGTGCTAATCATTTGATCACTTTCACAAACCCTTCAACGTCATCTTTGGGCATCAGAAGAAGACCAGCACCTTTATCATGGGCCAGCAGCAAATTGGTAGCCAGTGCCATTATTCAGTGTGTTGTGATATTCAATGAAATGCGAATTGTAATGAAAATGATAAAACTGGACATTTATTTATAGATTCTTCCCACTTCTCTGTGTAATGCCAAGTGCTGTCCTGGTTACAGTAGGAAAAAGAAGGAAGGGGAGCCTTTTTGCTGTTATGAATGTGTTCCTTGTCCGGAAGGGAAGATTTCTAACCAGACAGGTAGGAGATATGGTTGTCACAGAGGTCAATGTGCCTTTGACACTTAAGGTATGTGTTTTCAGGACATTCCTGTACCACTAATTATTTTAACAGTATCATAACTGTTTTTAATGTACAGTTTTAAAATGTTGCATCTGTTGGGATCTGTTGGTAAAGGGTGAGTAATAAATTGAATATTAGTAAGTGCAGAATGATTTCCACAATTATCCAGGAAGACTGACGTGACTATATTTGGTATTCAGCTAAGTTGTTGGGCGTGCAGAACAAGGCCTGCACATGCAATGGAACCTCCCTGCTGTTTCCCCCCTGCAGCACCTAAACCCATTCTGGGTTTCCCACAAGGCTCCAGGGAATAATTATGGAGTTCATGGAGAATAGGGGGAGGACGGGGGGGAAGTGCCAGTGCATGCGTGGACTTCATTTACCATGTGCTTGGTCCACAGAGTGCTACATTGAAACCCACCATATGGCTTTAAAGGGGGGAAATAATCGTGCTTAACATGTGCATTATCTTGTTTGAATGCTGTAAACAATTCCTTTTCAGAAGTAGCCCAGTCCAAATTTAAAACATTTTAGAAAACAAGCTACTATATAGACTTTCATGTTTTGATATCAACAATTCTGGCCAGGGCCTTGGAAGGACACCAAATGGGTTTTATTATATATCTTTTGCTAACTATGGGTATTGGAAGTAAAATCTCTTAGTCTATATTTCACTGCAGAACTTTATTGTGAGACACATCACATCAAGGGGAAGCTGAATTTTCAAAAATTCATCTTCATTATAATTTTCCAATGATATATATAACAAAGAAATTCAATACTCATTACTTATTCCATTTTTATTAACCCCACCATAAAAAAGAGATATAAAGCAAAAACAAAAACAAAAAAGATATGTGTATTGAGAAACTGAAATAACATGATCTGAGAACCTATTAATCTCAATTTATTTCTTCAAATAAGTAAAACATGTGAATCAATAGAATGATTTATTTATTTACATATTTATTACTTACGGTATACCCTGTCGATCTGACTGGTTTGCCCCAGCCACTCTGGGCAGCTTCCAACAGATGTCTTTGAAAAGTTGCGTAGTTGTTTAACTGTTTGACATCTGATGAGATGACATTCCACAGGGCAGGTGGGCAGGTGCCACCACCAAGAAAGCCCTCTGCCTGGTTCCCTATAACTTCATTTCTAGCAGTGAGGGAACCACCAGAAGCACTGGCAGAGGAAGAGGAGTGTGAGTGGAACACACAGCCCCCGGCAGCGCGATCACAGTAGGTGCCATCACAGCTGCCCCCCACCCGCACTGGGTGCCACACCCCTGCAGGCAGCATACCCCGCCCCTGGATGTGCACCAGCCCCGCCCCCACCTGCTCTCCGCCCCCTGGTGCCGGAGCATGAAGCTCCGTGACTAACCAGAAGGCCCTCGGAGCTGGAGATTATTGTCTGTGATGAACAGGGCCTGAATATCTACATATTCCTATATACAGGGCCTGAATTGTGCTCAGAAGCCAATGTAGATCTTTAAGACCAGTGTTATAACATCATGCTCATCAGGGTGGAAGGTGGCTGTGACTTTTTAAATTAGTTTTATGCTTTCTGCTAGTTCTTTCAGGGCTGGGATAGCTTCCGCCCAGTTCTGTACTAGGATCTGTGGAATAATGTGCCATATACCTCAAAACACCTTTTTTGCTGATATCTCACATCTGATGGAACTGTTCTTTGCTTAAAAGCAAAGATGGATAGTCTTCGCATGTGAGGAGTTTGCAGATGAATGACAACCCTTGGCTAATGAACTTGGAAATGAGAAGAGATTTAAGTCAGCTCCAACAATGACTATAAAAGTATCCAATTTTTTAAATTTTTATTCTAGATATGGATGCCTGCACAGAATGTCCAGAAGATCAATATTCAAACTTCCACCAGAACCAATGCATTCCCAAAGTTATAACCTACCTTTCATACGAGGAACCTTTAGGAATGACTTTAGCTTTGTCTGCTCTTGCTCTTGCTCTGATCACAGCTTTGGTGATAATAATATTTGTGAAGCACCAGAACACACCCATCGTCAAAGCCAACAACCGAAGTGTCACCTACATTCTTCTCATATCCCTCCTTCTGTGTTTCCTCTGCTGCTTGCTTTTTATTGGAAAACCTGGACAGCTAATTTGCTTACTCCGACAAACAACTTTTGGCATCATATTTTCTCTTGCTCTTTCCAGCTTGTTAGCTAAAACCATCACTGTGGTCCTGGCATTTATGGCTACTAGACCAGGATCTAGAATGAGAAAATGGATGGGGAAAAAGCTGACAAACTCTATCATGGTTTCAGGCTCCTTTATTCAAGCAGGAATTTGTACCCTTTGGTTGAGTATTTCTCCCCCATACGCAGATACAGACATGTACTCCGTCAATGGGGAAATCATAGCAGAGTGTAATGAAGGCTCAACTGTCATGTTTTATAGTGTCTTGGGCTATATGTGCTTCCTGGCCCTTGTCAGCTTCATGGTGGCATACCTTGCTAGGAGGTTGCCAGACACTTTCAATGAAGCCAAATTTATCACTTTCAGCATGATGGTGTTCTGCAGTGTTTGGTTGTCCTTTGTTCCTGCCTACCTGAGCACCAAAGGAAAATACATGGTGGCTGTGGAGATCTTCTCTATCTTATCCTCCAGTGCTGGGTTACTGGTTTGCATCTTTTCCCCTAAATGCTATATTCTTTTGTTCAGGGCTGACTTGAATAACAGGGAGCAACTGAAATCAGGAAAAGACTAAGTTATATGAGAATTAAAAACAGATGGCACTCCCCCCCTTTCAAGTATGCAATCTGAATGGTAGAATGAATAGTATAATAACTGACACATACAGTACTTCACAGAGGTTAAATATACTGAGAAACATTCTTTCTAAAGTTTCTAAAGCTTTCTTGACCTGAAAATAAATCTCAATGATCTTAATGGACCTTTTCTTTCACATTTTAGTGAAATTATTTGCAAGTCAAGATCCACAAGGCGAAGTTGCATATTTATTCCTTCCATACTCATCAGCCAAACAGAATTATTGACTGAAATTTCCATGAATAAATATAAAATAGAGACTGAAGGTAATAATACATTGTTATTTTCTCTCTCTTTTTGTAATATTTTTTATTAATTTTAGCATACAATTTTTTAAAAAAGACATACCACAAAAATTATTATACATATATCCTTATTTGGACTTCCTTCAGCATCTCTGATAGCTTTCCGTCTTAATTATTTCTCCTGCAATTCTTAACCTAATATTGCCTTTACATTTTCTAACAAACCATTTCTTCCTTTCCATTTTAACAATATTTCTTAAATTAAGCCTCACAGAACTTCTTGTAGTCCTACAAACGTAATTTGATCATCGCAAATACTTTTCAGATACTCAGTATACTTAGTCCAGTCTTCGGTAAACCTCTGGTCTCGGATCCTTCCTGTTAGCTTATCTAATTCTGCATAGTCCATCAATTTCATCCTCCATTCTTCTAATGTTGGTAGTTCTTCTTGCTTTCATTTTTGGGCCAATAATATTCTTGCTGCTGTTACTGCATATAAAAACAACTTACACTCTTTCCTTTTTATATCATTTCCAACAATACCTAGAAGAAATGCTTCTGGCTTTTTAATAAAAGTATATTTCAACCTTTTTTTAAACTCATTCTATATCATCTCCCAGAAGCATTTCACCTTTTTACATTCCCACCACATATGATAAAATAATCCTTCTTTTTCTTTACATTTCCAACATTTACTTCTAACTTTATGCATTTTTGCTAACTTAACTGCTGTGATGTACCATCTATACATCATCTTCATCACGTTTTCTTTCAATGCATTACATGCAGTAAATCTCAAACCTTTCCATAATTTGAGCCATAATTTGTTATTTTTTGTTATTTGGAAAAACGCTACTGAAAATGGTGGTTCATGGACCAGTGCCTGTATGTAAGCAATTGGCTGCTGGTTTGTGGTGATTTCCCAGGAATTCCAGCAGTAGGAAGGGAAGGGAAAGGGCAGGAAGAGAAGAGGAGGACAAAGAAAACTACCTGCCTATCTGCAAGACCGTAGCTAGGGGGTGGCAAGATGGGCCCCCACCATGGGGCACAGGCGATGGGGGGGCACATAATTGGCTTAAAAATATGTCCTTACATATAAATATTGATTATTGCCTCATAAGAAATGGTTTTAAATAGAGGGTGAATTGAATGGGTGGAGGGGTTGGGGTTGGAGGAGAGATGGAAAGAAGAGCATATTTGTCCATGGCTAGGGGGCGCAATCTGGACAGTTCTGCCAGGGGCACAAGATCACCTAGTTACGGCTCTGCCTATCTGCTTATGTCAAGGGGGAGGGGGCTGGAGTTGCTGCTGCTGCTGCTTGGGAGTTGGAAGACAGGGTCCTTGGAAACATTGAGCCAGGGGAGGGAGGAGAAACCCATAAAGAAGCAAGGAGTGTCTGGCGGCCCCCTCAGGAGCAGTTCAGCAGACTCCCTTACCTGGACCTTGTGTATGGACCTTGTTAAGCTGGCATCTGTACTCTTTAGTTAAGTACTTGCCTTCCATTCTCAGACACAGACATGCAGTCACTGAATGGTTAATTCATATTTGAATGCAACAAGGGTTCAGCTACCGTGTTTAATTGTGTCTTGGGTTGTATGGGTTTTTTGGCTGTTGTGAGTTTCATTCTGGCTGTCCTAGCCAAAAAGTTACCTGATGGTTTTAATAAGAATAAGTATACAAATGATACACTATTGTTGTGTCAAGAACATGCTACAGAATAACCCCACAATAAAACACCAGTCTGGATGGGTCCGTTGTTTCTTTCCATCTATCTACCCCTGCCCAAACAAGCTGACCCACTTAGAATATAACTCAGATTAATCACCCTTCTTAATAGTCAACAGCCACCAATTGTTATTGATGTTGTTGGCTTTTCTATCTATGCATATTTTTATGGTTGGCATGTAAAGGTTTGACTGGAAGGTTAAGTCCAGTCAAAGGCAACTGTGGGGTTGCGACGCTCATCTTGCTTCAGATCGAGGGAGCCAGCATTTGTCCACAGACACCTTTCCGCGTCACGTGGCCAGCATGGCTAAACCGCTTCTGGCCGCTTCTGGGAAATGATATATAAAGAATTGAAAAAATGTTGAAATATACATTTGTTAAGAAACCAGAGGCATTTTTGTTAGGAATGGTAGGAAATGAAATAAACAGAAAAGATTACAAGTTTTTTCTATACGCAGTAACAGCGGCAAGAATACTGCTAGCCCAAAAATGGAAACAAGAAGAATTACCGTCGATGGAAGAATGGAGAATGAAGTTAATGGAATACGCAGAACTTGATAAACTAACAAGAAGGATCCGAGGCCTACGAGACCACAGATTCACTGAAGACTGGAGTAAATTTGTAGACTATTTGAAAAGTATTTGCGATGAACAATTAACAGTTTGTAGGTTTGCAAGAGGCTCTGTGAAAATAATATCAGAAATATTGTAAAAAAGGGAATAAGAGGGAGGAGGTTTTTAATAAAAGGCAATATTAGATTAAGAAATGTGAAGAAGGACTAAAACGGAGGATTTGCAGAAGAGCTGAGGGAACTCCCAAAAATGTATTTGTGAAAAATTGTGTGATGTGTTTTTATATTTTTGTATTGTAAAATGAATAAAAAATAATTTAAAAAAAATAAACCGCTTCTGGCCAACGGAAACGCTGTTACCTTCCCATTGCAGTGGTACCTATTTATCTACTTGCACTGGCATGCTTTTGAACTGCTAGGTTGGCAGGAGCTGGGACAAAGGAACGGGAGATCACCCCATCATGGGGCCTCAAACTGCCGAACTTCTGATCAGCAAGCCCAAGACGCTCAGTGGTTTAGACCAAAGTGATTGTACTAAGAGTTATTATGCAGCCCCAAGTCAGCACCATTACTCTTTTTCATAGACCCAAGAGAAGACAGACAAAGAATGTCCTTTCGATGTTTTATTCACTCTCACATTTGTTAATACACTTATATGTAGTAAATCACTTCAATATATGCATCCTAGTCTCATACTCTAGCACTAGTTGATACACTATTCTTATGCAGCACAAGCTTAAGACTTGTTGATAGACCAAACAGCAAGTTAGAGTCTTACTGAACCATGAGCTTTCTGATGTTGTAGTCAGATGAGGTGTGCTTCTCTGTCAAATATGAAACTCAGCCAGATGGGCTGGGTATAAATAAATAAATTATTATTATTGTTATTATTATTATTATTATTATTATTGCTATCAAACCTTCTCCAGAGAATTCAGCAGCATTTTTGTGTAATATCCTAATTGCAATGTAATTTCCCCTTTAAAACCTTTTACAAGAAATTTACCTCAATAGAATGCATCTGTATGTTATTTTCACCAACACATATGACTTTATTGATGTATTGAGTGCTTGTGCTTCAGCGTCCAGTGTTGTGATGTATCACAGGCCACTGTTTTGTTCATAATGCTATTTAGCATCTATATGAAGCTATTTGTAGAGCTTAGGATGTTTGAGGAAAGCTATCACAGAATCATAGAATTATAAAGTTGGAAGGGACACCAAGGGTCATCTAGTTCAACCCCTGCACTGCAGGAATCTCAACTAAAGCATCCATGACAGGTGGCCATCCAATATTTGCTTAAAAACCTCCAAGGAAATCTGAATGCTCTGTGGATGAACTTAACTCTAGCACTGGTCAGATCTGAATCTACCAGGCTATATAACGCTGGCTACTTATTATTCATCAAAGGACAAAATAATATGTCTATGATTCTGGTGGAAAGAAGAAAAAATCTTCTAGCACTTTTGTTATGTGTGATATAACTTCAGAAGTCAACAACACACTGGGGAAATGATAATCATACCTGTTAATGTCATTGACATTCAGCACATGCTAGCAACACACCAAAAAAACAAGATTCTGAAAAAGAGCTATAAAACCCTTGTATCCTTCAGAACTAGGTCCAGGTATTGGCAGGGCTCCATCATTCTTCTGTTAGATAATCTCTCTTATATGTTAGGTTATATATCCACTTCCTGGCTTTAGAAATGATATGCAATGCAGTAGAAGGTACCATGGAAACTGATATTTGGAAGGGGCATTTTGTCAACAGGATCATGATGATGATGATGTTGCTTATATTGTTGTGTCATACTGTATGCAAGACATATTTCATTAATTGCAGCATACATGATGATCGTCTCCCTATTCCTTATGAATTTTACCAATGAGGTGACCGTTTCATTGGTGGGATTGTTTCTCAAGTCGTGTTCTTCTATAATACACCCTCTTTCATGGAATAGCCTTCACAGATTGTGATTGGCGAGGGTATGTAAGACACCATCCTCCTCCTCCACCTCCTCTCTCTTTCTTTCTCTCTGTCACACACACACACACACACACACACACACACACTTTTGTAATATTTTCAGATCATAGTTACCATAACACATATTTAATGAATATTGCATTTATTTATTGTGGGTGTGATGAAAGTGTCATGCTGGCAATGCTTGGACTGGTTAGTCAATATTTTGCCCTCTATATTCTATTGCTGGGCACAAGACATTAGTAAGCCTTTCCTCATAAGTGCCAATGAAATGAATGAATGAATGGATCTGGTATACTTCTGTTTGCCCCTGCAAAATGACCTCCTAGAGGAATATACAGTGGTACCTTGATAGTGCTCCTATCATAAACATCACATGTTTATTTAACCAGACTGATCCATTTTTGTTCTACAAAGGGTCCTTTTCTGCATCTCCTACCTCCCAAAAATTAATACAGCTCCAAGGCTTCAGCAAAACTTAATCTGACCTGCTTATGGCAGAATCAAGATCCCCATGTTCAAGGGGGAAGTCATTTTGTAACTATTCTCTTTTTCTATTTCCATTGGACAAATTATATCATTTAGGGAAAACTCATATAGTATTCTGAACAAGGGCCTTGCTTTGCCTTAAAGTAACTCGGTCTCAATTCACCTCAACATGACTCTGATGCATCTTTTTATACAATATGTGAAGGAGCACAGCCAATAAACCACTTGCATAAGAGACTGGTTGAATTGTGGTAGGATGAAAGTGATACCTGCTCCACCTGCATATACAAGTCATTATCACATATTATTTTATGTTTATAGAGGGAGGAAAATAACATGGCAGAGTTCTTTTTCAACTTACATTCATTAGAATTTGTGCATAATATTCATGTTATTAAGTTGTGTGGCGAGTTCCCGCCCCCCAGTGGAAATAATGACACATGACAGAATTATTAAGGTTAATGGGCTAAATAAGGCCACAACTTTATTGGTTACAGGTGATGAGTGGTATTGGCTTAGGCATTGGTCCAGCAGACTAGATCCGACTTCAGCCCATCCACCTGAAGTCCAGGAAGGGTTAACCACCAGTAGGGGAAGTCCTGCTGACACACATCAACTAGGAACTCCCCCAGGGTCACCAATTGGGGGGCCTTAGGCCATCACATCCATAGGCTTCGGACAGGGCCACCCCCCCGGAATCCTTTATCAATATACGGGGCAGGTGATGGCGCTACGTCCCCTCTTTCATCTACAGAGCAATACCAATGCATAACCACCAATAACAAGAAAGTTGTGATGATTTGCTATGAGGTAGGCAAAAACCAAGTGGCTGGTGCCAATTTGCCAGGACCCTCAACGGCGACCAACCAAGGTCCATAGCAAGGTCAAGGAACGAAAACCTTATAGGGTGGGAGGGTGGGAAAAGCAGCAACAGCTGGTAGGCAGCAAAGAGGGAGATCCCTGGCTGCGTCCTGGTTTAAATCAGGCAGGCCACACCCCCAGAGCCAGCTGATTGCCTGGCCAGGAAGTGACACGGCCGGGAATCCCCCCGCGCGCGTGGTGGGGCCGTGAAGCCCGCTACTCCACCTCCTCTGAAGGGCGGAAGTGGCTTTTCTCTCTTTCCAAGAGAATAGAAACCACATTGAACTAAGTACAAGTGAATGATTTTACTCTGATTTTGGGAAAATATAATACCATACCCTCCAACACGGTGATAGCAAAATCCAGGGGAAATCTTACCGGACACCATATTCCCATTATTTTCTCATGAATGAATGGCGGGGGTTTTGGTTGTCATGATCTCACATGATTTTGGAAGACAATTTCCCCAAGGAATGGTGCCCAAAAATGTGTGTTTGTGGGCACTGTGCAAGATTGCACGACCCCAACCCTTTAAAAAGTGATGGGGGGTTTCGAGAGGGAAAATTGTGGTGCAAAATCTTGCAAGACCTTGGTGACCAAAAATGCCACTGGCCTCTCATGATAAAAATTGGGATACATCAATTTTTCTGAGACACTTTCTGGGTATGCCATACAAGTTTACCAGACTGTTCAATTCCCACTGTATTTCCAGTTGTTTCTCTGTATGTAGCAGAGACAGCAATGTCTGCAGATGGGGAGATGATTATCACCCCTATAATTATGGACACATAATTGCCCTGCTAAACAAACTCCAGAAAATGCATGTTCAAGGCCTTGAGAATATAAACCACAACAATAAAAGTACTTATAAGAGTCTTCTCCAATGCTCAGAGCTGGCACAAAGCATAAAGGGCAGGAAAGGCCCTGTCATTCTGAGCTCTAACAGTTTTACGATAAGTTTGCAGTCTTTGGGTGTGCTGTGGTTTCTTCCAGACTAAACATATTTTGAGTAGCTTGAACAATCTGCACCCCACTGTATCTGTTTCTCCCAGCAGTGCCTCACTTACAGATCCTCCTAATAAAGAAAATACAACTTCTGTGTGCAGGCAGAAAAAAAAGTACAATCTTGCAGTTAAGAACTGAGGTGCATTAAATAGGGGAGAAATCAATTAAAATCAATTAAAAAACATGAAATAGGAGCGGAGGAGATGGATGCAGTCACCTTCTTACATCAACTGATCAATGTAGGAATGGGGTCACATCTTGTCAAATTAAGTTGAAATAAACTCATCTGAATAAAAGTGGCATTGAAGAAAACAGTGACGTGAGTCTGGAAGCAATTTATTGTCCCCAAAATGCTGATGTTATTGATGCTGCTGCTTGTTTTTTTCCCCCATATTGTGAGCAAGAGCCATTCAATTCTTTCCAGCCTGAAGATGCGTTTTGACCAATGCAAAGTAAGTAACACCTACTTCACTTCACAGGAGTTTTCTCAGCCAGGAAATCTTGTCATCGGGTTTATTGCTTCTCGGTTTTACATGATGCACTTCCCTACAATTTCATCTGAACCGTCCTCTTCAGCACCCCAGAAGGAACTCATGTAAGTCACCCTCTTTTTCCTCTCTGTAGAATGAATATTTTTTATCTCACATGAATTAAGAACAGATAATGAAGCAACAAGAGGTCTTTTCCTCTCTTATAATCTGAAATGTGAGATGCAAATCATGGTACTTCTGAACTTTTATTAGCTGCACTTTCAGCATAGGTGGGTTTGTTTATTTTTAGTAGATGCAAACTTGGTGCATATTTTATCACTTAATTCTACTGTTACTTTTTTGCAGTCTGCTAATTTGATAAATCTAGTGTTCCATATGATATGCTTATGCAATTTCTTTCTGGACACCTGATTTTAGAGAGCAGAAGGGCTGCCTTGGTGCAGTGCTTCTTTAAATCTGTTTTTGCTCCAGATTCATTTGTGTAAATAGAGCAAATAAAGGAATATAGCACAAGTTTACAGTGTTGTGAGTTGAGGCCCCGTCCCCTTCTTTATGATGAAATAAGACACATGGACACAAGTATTTTAGGTAAATGGGCTAAAAAGGCCACAACTTTTTTGGTTACAGAATGTGAGTTGTATTGGCTTAGGCACTGAATCCGAAAAGACTAAAACTGACTCCTGCCCGCCATGCAGGAAGTCACAGAAGGGTTAACAACCTGCAGGGGGAGCTTGTTGATACAAATCAACTGGAAGCTTTCCCCTAGAGTCACCGGAGAGTCGTGCCATGGCCCTAGTCACCACCTGGGCTTCGGACAGGAACCACAACCACTGGATTCCTTTAATGGAATACCCTTCAAAGGGAGTGGTAGGTGATGGCCACAACTTCCCCTCCAACACACAACATATTTTCCAATGCCTAACCGCCAAACCTTACAAAGTTGTGATGATTTGCTACGAGGTAGGTGAAAAATCAAGTGGCTGGTCTGCCAAGTCTGCCAAGAGGAAAAAATTCCTACCAGGCCCCTTCAACAGGCAACCAACCGAGATCCATAGCAAGGTCAGGTATTGAATGCACAAAAATAGAGGGAAGGAGGGAGGGAGGGAGGGAGGAGATTCATGCATGCAGGAAAGAAACAGGCTGAGCCACAGTCCCACACACATTTAAGAGTGGCAAACCACTCCCCCCCAGTAAGCTGTATTGGCTGGCTGTGGGCATGACACAGCCCAGGGTCTCTCTGACTCAGTGGGCCATCCACGCCCCCTGCAAACCGTGGGAAGCGAGACCCACTTACAACCCCTCACCTTGGGAAAGAGGAGAGGCTTTTTTCTGATTCATTTGTAAATAATGCACATGATAGCCCTACCCTGGAAACATTCCATTGGATGTCCATGAGTTCTAGACTAGAAATATTTCACAGCTCTAGAAGGTGTACAGCATATGAAAATACTTTTTTCTGAATTGTTCAAAAGACCATAAATCTATCCAAAAATCCTTACAAAGGCCATGTTGCAATGGATTTGCAATAAAGGACACCTTGCACTGCAATTTGTAATGCAGGAAATATTCTGTGCACAGCAGATTTTTCCTAACGGATGTAGAAGATTGTTGCTACCTGTTTTATTTCATGGAGGTGATAAAAAATATGAGAAATAATATACTGTGTGTCCCCCCCATTTGTATTGCAGTGTGGTACCCAAAAACTACCAGGAGGTTCTTGCCATGGTATTTGCTGTAGAGGAGATAAACAAAAATCACCATATTTTGCCTAACATCACGCTGGGCTTCCGAATCTATGATAGCATGCACAGGGTTGTAGTCACTTCTAAGCTCTCACTGGACCTACTTTCTCCACGGCATATTTCAGCTCCAAATTATAAATGTGATCGCCAGAACAATTTGATTGCCATTCTTGGGACAAAGTTAACTGAGATCTCCTTCAGTTTGGCCAGTATTATAAGCATGTACAAGATTCCTCAGGTGGGTGTTTTTGAGGATAGTACTGAGATTGTGTGAGATATGAGCATCCAAAATGCTAAGTAAAGAGTTAATACTCACAAGGACTGCAACATTCTAAGAAAGAATCTTGTGAGGTCATATAACTTGTGCATGAGGCAGTTGTGTAAATTGGTACAGTTATGTCAATTAATAACAGTCTTTTTGAGTTAGAGACACTGAGCAGTAGGCCTGTTCAGTTCTGCTGCAGTCTGCCTCAAAGTTTGTTGGTCTGCAAGGGTTTTAGTCTTAGTGGTAAGCGAAGACGGGGCTTGGAATGTCATTTCTCCCTCTCTGCAGCTTGAGCTCCTGCACTTCTTTGGAGAAGAATATTAGACAAACCCTATGACTACTGAGACACCTTTCCAGGAACCAGTGGGTTACACCCTAAATTATGTTTATTTAGATTATTTCAAATTAAATGCATCAAGATTGCCTTGGCTTGATATATCCACTGATCATTATTTTTTCCTGGTAAATGAAACATTCATTTAACCCAAAGTAGTGGCTGTGGACAAAAGTAATCCATATTAGCAATGCATACCCTTAATCCACACATTTTCTGTGCTTTTCATATCATATATGTGTTTGCTTTTAGTTCACCTATGATTGTCTTGACTCAAGGGTGACTGAAAGAAGACAGTACCATTTCCTGTACCAGATGGTCCCTAATGATGTCCATGAGTACAATGGGTTGGTCAAGTTACTTTTGCATTTCAAATGGACATGGATTGGTCTCTTTACTATGGAATACATTACTGGAGAATTTTTTTTGGAAGCATTAGTTCCCCAGCTTACCCTGAATTACATCTGTGTTGATTTTATACGTAGAATACGGCCATTGCCTTATGCTGAAGGAATGATGGATTTGCTCCTTAGTGAATTTAATAAAATTTCAATTGTCATGACAAGCAAAGCCAATGTTTCTGTGGTCTATGGTAGTTCCATTTTGATGGACATTTTGATCAGGTATCTTCATATGGCACAAATTTCTATAGGTAAAGTATGGCTTGTGACAAGTCATTGGGATTTCAAAACCACCAACGAAAGGAGGTGGAATATGCACCCTTTACAAGGTGCCTTATCTGTATCTATACACTCAAATGAACCCCTGGGATTCAGGACATTTCTTCAGAGTCTAAATCCTTTTGAGGAAAAGCAAAATGATTTGATCAAGGATTTCTGGGAAAAGACCTTCAATTGCTCATTGAAAAATAATAATGTGGGTGAAGAGCCTAAGAAACGTTGCACTGAGGAGGAGAAATTGGAGAGTCTTCCATTACAAATCTTTGAAATGAGCATGACTGGCAGCAGCTATGCTGTGTACAATGTTCCTCACGCAGTGGCACATGTTCTGCATGCTATGTATCAATCTAGATTCAAACCCAAATCACAGGTGGCTAGAGTGGATTTGCAGAATCTGCAGCCATGGGAGGTAATTTTACCCACAGCACAGTATTTTCTGCTCTTGGGTGGCCTAGAACACCATATTATTCCACAGCTGTGTAAAAAAAACCTTAAAATCTCATGTACATAAACAGATCTTACAGTCAAGGCTTTTTGTTTCCTATCAAATAGCTTGGTGAGAATGGCTGGCTTCCCTGTTTGCTGTGTTATACGTAGCACTTTCACTAATAAATCATCCACTTTTATGTCATACCTCCTATATGGGCAAATTTTGGTCAGGGCTGCTGATCACATCTTCAATGCTGGCTAACATACCAGGAACCCTTTTCTAAAGAAAGAATCAGGAGAATTTTTTTACCTTTTCATCTTTTATTAGAAAGCATCTTCATCATGTTGAGTTTTTGCCTGCGCCTGAAAATTATTCATTTGTCTCTTCCCAAGCTCCTTTGGCTTGGTGGAAATGTATCTTGCTGCCACACCATCTTCATTGATACATTTGGATACTTCTGAACCTATTGTTGTTTTGTGTGATGGATCCTAAGAGGGATATACAGGTTTTTGACCCTTCTACTGAATCAGGTGGAGGCTGAGCCACCTCCAAGTATGCAGAAGTGATGACTCCTAATGAGTTAGCTGCCAGAGGCCAAGCTGCCTACCTGAAAAATAACTATTACTCAGGTGTGACAGGCTGTTCCTCAAAGACCAAATTTCTTATGATATCTTGATGACTTGCAGTTATGCTCTGGGTGTGGTTCTAAGGCCCATACTTTTAATCTGACAGTTTCTGGTAGAGAGTGATGGCACAACTTCCTTACATGAGTTCAATGGCTAGAATAGTAAGAAAACTTTGCAAAATAATTCCTAAGATTGAGGACCTAGTTTTTGTCCATGACTGGTTATATTTGGATGCAATTTTAAATCAAGATACTGAACTGAACCTTTCAAAACTTCACTGTTTTTAAACAAAACTACCAATATTCTCTAATATTTTACAAATTAACTTTAGAATGACTTTTTAGGGTGAAACTAAATTAAGGGTTTTTTATTTCATAAAATGTCTGGACTGGCTACACACACACAACTAGTGCACACCTCTCTGAAAATTATGGTTGTATTCACCACTCTGAGGATTCAAACATTTTACCCCTTTCTATATTTTTTGAATGTAGCTCCATCCCTTTCTAAGAAATCTCACATTCAACAACAGTGCTGGAGAGACAATACAGTTTAACGATAATGGAGAGATAATGGCAGGATTTGATGTGACCAACTGGGTAATGTTTCCAAATCAATCTTTTGGTAGAGTCAAAATTGGAAGGCTGGATCTTCAAGCTCCTCTAGGCAAGGAATTAACAATTCAGGATGAACGCATTGTGTGGCATAGAACATTTAACCAGGTGAGCTAGGAAGACTTGTAAATCTTTTTCTCCCAAATAACTGGAAATGGATTGTTGAAATGTGCCTGATGACTTTTATTTCCATATTGTTACATACACTCCAATTACTGCACCCCATTCTGCAATCAGCAAAAGGTTTCAAGACTTCCAACTTCCAACATGTACCCTGGGTTGGTTTCATTTAAAGAGGGTCACTGGAGACTCAGGAAATGCTTGTAATGTAAGGCTAATCTGTACATATATTCACAGTAAGCATAAGAAATTGGTTCATAGCCCTAATTTCCATTGATTTCCCATCCTTCCTCCCATGATCCCAGGGATGGTCAGAGATAAAACATCAGCAAATCAATCAAATGCAACATTCATAATACAGAAATAAAACAAGAACTAATAATTTAATTGTGCACATAAAATAAAAAAGGCAAAGAATAAATGAATAGCAGCTGGCCTTCTGAAAGAAGTGTCTTTTCAATTGCCAGCCAAAGAGTAAATGGTTGGCAGCAGAACTACTTAGGAAGGGGGATTCAAAAAATGGAACATTAAAACTAAGATGGCCCTGGGATATGCTGCTTACTCACAGTCTTCAGGTAGTAATTTTATAAAATACGAGCAGGAAAATATATGGGGATATCATTCCCCATCAAATCTCCCCAGGCTCCAATGGGATTAGAACCACCAATATCACAGCATTGTATTGTCCTACTAGGGAATTCAAGTCTATGTCTCTTTCAGAATCAGTTTCAGGAGTGCTAATCATTTGATCACTTTCACAAACCCTTCAACGTCATCTTTGGGCATCAGAAGAAGACCAGCACCTTAATCATGGGCCAGCAGCAAATTGGTAGCCAGTGCCATTCTCTCAGCAGTGGTGTGACTGGTTGCCAATACTGTGTCCCAGTAAGCAGTCAAGCAATTTGCATCAGCTTCAGCCTCTTGACCAGCCTCAAGGGATTCCCCACTTTTTGCTTTTTGCTGGCTGAAAGATTGGCTACTTCTTGAAAATGTGGACATTTTGGATCTAGAAGGTTTTGATAATGTCTTTGGATGGCATGCATATCTATGGTATGACAAAGTTAAAGCGCATAAGGCCTTTAAGAATCATATTGTTAGGAAAGCATTGTTTAATGTTTGGGTGAGATATAAGGATTTGTTGGAAAGTAAAACACCAAGGTGGCTGTCACCAATGGAGGCAAAGGCATTGAAAAAAACTAATATGGAGATAAACTGGCCAAAATATTGTGAAATTTTAGAACAAGTTGGTGATAAACTAAAATTGCAGAGCTTCGACAAATTAAAAACTAAAGTTTGAGATTGGCTGCATTATTATCAAATAAGGGAGGTTTTTAATTTAGACAAAAAGATTGGTTTCCAGGAGGAAAAATCTAAACTGGAAACGGAATTGTTAGAGCCTAAAACTAAAAATCTGTCAAGAATGTATAATTTGCTGTTGAAATGGAATACACAGGATGAAATAGTCAAATCTGCTATGATTAAATGGGCGCAAGATGTTGGGCATAACATTATGTTTGCTGACTGGGAACGGTTGTGGACCACAGGTATGAAATTTACGGCCTGTAACGCCTTAAGAGAAAATATAATGAAAATGATTTACAGGTGGTACTTAACCCCAGTCAAGCTAGCAAAAATTTATCATCTGCCTGATAATAAATGTTGGAAATGTAAAGAAAATGAAGGTACTTTCTTCCACCTTTGGTGGACGTGCCCAAAGATCAAGGCCTTCTGGGAAATGATATATAATGAATTAAAAAAGGTATTGAAATATACTTTCTTGAAGAAACCAGAGGCCTTCCTCTTGGGCATGGTCGGTCAATTGGTGCGAAGGGAAGACAGGAATTTTTTATGTATGCGACAGCAGCAGCAAGAATACTCATTGGGAAATACTGGAAGACACAAGAATTGCCTACCCGAGAAGAATGGCAGAGAAAAGTGATAGACTATATGGAACTGGCTGAGATGACCGGCAGAATTCGAGATCAAGAAGAAGGGTCGATGGAAGAAGATTGGAAAAATTTAAAACATATCTTCAGAAATACTGTAATATAAAAGAATGTTAGAAAAGGTTGGAGAAGAATATTAGACCGTATTGGCAGACAGAGTATAATGGAATAAGTAAATATGAAGTGTAAAATAAAAGATAGAGGAGAATTAAATATTTTTGAATGTTAAAATAAGCAAATGAAAAGAAGGTTAGAAGGATTTGCTGGAGATACGATTTGAATTAGAATACAAAGCAGAGAAGTGAGAGGAAGTCACGGAAATAAGTAAATGGGAAAACGGTTTTAATGGTTTAAGTTGAATTTTTCTGTTGTTATTTTTTACTGTGATTTTCTGTCTTGTGTATTTTTCTTTGTATTGTGTGTTTTTCTTGTAGGATGTATGTGATTTGTTTTTCTTTTTTTACTTTTTTCTTTTTCTGTAATCTTAAAATTTGAATAAATATTTTTTAAAAAAGGGATTCCCCACATAGACACCAGGTCTACAGCCCCCCTTGTTTCAGATGTTACAGAGGAGTCCATTACGTCAACTCAGAAGGATACCATGGTCAATGGCATCAAAAGCCATTGACATGTCCCCTGTCCTTCTCCTCATAACCAGGCATGAAACCAGACTGACATGGGTCAGCCATGATACACTGGAAAAGAGATATAGGACATAGTATAGAATTAAGCGTGTTGGAAAAATTGTGGAGTAAGGATTTAAAATTTACAGATTGTGTAAATGAGATACGTTGAAAGAAAACATCATGAAGATTATATATAGGTGGTATTTTATGCCAAGTAAATTAGCGAAAATGTATAAATCAGAATCAAGTACCTGTTGCAAGTGTCAAGAAAGGGAGGGTACTTTTTATCATATGTGGTGGACATGTAGAATTCCGCAGGAATTCTGGGAGGTGATATATAATGAAATAAAAAAATGTTATAAAAAGACCAGAAACCTTCTTACAAGGTATATTAGGAACAGAAGTCCCCGCAGAACTGCAGAATTTCTTTAAGCAATTACAGCAGTCTGAGGTATATGCTCAGAAATAGAAAGAGAGAATGAACCCAACAAAGGAGGAGTGGCAGATAAAATTATTGGAATATGCAGAATTGGCAAATTTAACGAACAGAATAAGAAATCAGCAAGATGGCGTGTTTAAGAAAAAGTGGAAAATGTTTGCAGAATACCTCAAGAATTATGCAAAGCAAGATAAAGTGTTAGCAGGATTAATCTAAATGTAGCAGTTTAAATTATTAAAATTATAGTGGGGGTGATTGAATAAAAGGGGAATTAGATTATGTAGTCTTAATTGATAAATAAATGGAAGCATGGAAGGGGGAAAGATAAGTCTATTATTCAGTGTGTTGTGATATTCAATGAAATGCGAATTGTAATGAAAATGATAAAACTGGACATTTATTTATAGATTCTTCCCACTTCTCTGTGTAATGCCAAGTGCTGTCCTGGTTACAGGAGGAAAAAGAAGGAAGGGGAGCCTTTTTGCTGTTATGAATGTGTTCCTTGTCCGGAAGGGAAGATTTCTAACCAGACAGGTAGGAGATATGGTTGTCACAGAGGTCAATGTGCCTTTGACACTTAAGGTAGGTGTTTTCAGGACATTCCTGTACCACTAATTATTTTAACAGTATCATAACTGTTTTTAATGTACAGTTTTAAAATGTTGCATCTGTTGGGATCTGTTAGTAAAGGGTGAGTAATAAATTGAATATTAGTAAGTGCAGAATGATTTCCACAATTACCCAGGAAGACTGACGTGACTATATTTGGTATTCAGCTAAGTTGTTGGGCGTGCAGAACAAGGCCTGCACATGCAATGGAACCTCCCTGCTGTTTCCCCCCTGCAGCACCTAAACCCATTCTGGGTTTCCCACAAGGCTCCAGGGAATAATTATGGAGTTCATGGAGAATAGGGGGAGGACAAGGGGGGAAGTGCCAGTGCATGCGTGGACTTCATTCACCATGTGCTTGGTCCACAGAGTGCTACATTGAAACCCACCATATGGCTTTAAAGGGGGGAAATAATCGTGCTTAACATGTGCATTATCTTGTTTGAATGCTGTAAACAATTCCTTTTCAGAAGTAGCCCAGTCCAAATTTAAAACATTTTAGAAAACAAGCTACTATATAGACTTTCATGTTTTGATATCAACAATTCTGGCCAGGGCCTTGGAAGGACACCAAATGGGTTTTATTATATATCTTTTGCTAACTATGGGTATTGGAAGTAAAATCTCTTAGTCTATATTTCACTGCAGAACTTTATTGTGAGACACATCACATCAAGGGGAAGCTGAATTTTCAAAAATTCATCTTCATTATAATTTTCCAATGATATATATAACAAAGAAATTCAATACTCATTACTTATTCCATTTTTATTAACCCCACCATAGAAAAAGAGATATAAAGCAAAAACAAGAACAAAAAAGATATGTGTATTGAGAAACTGAAATAACATGATCTGAGAACCTATTAATCTCAATTTATTTCTTCAAATAAGTAAAACATGTGAATCAATAGAATGATTTATTTATTTACATATTTATTACTTACGGTATACCCTGTCGATCTGACTGGTTTGCCCCAGCCACTCTGGGCAGATTCCAACAGATGTCTTTGAAAAGTTGCGTAGTTGTTTAACTGTTTGACATCTGATGAGATGACATTCTACAGGGCAGGTGGGCAGGTGCCACCACCAAGAAAGCCCTCTGCCTGGTTCCCTATAACTTCATTTCTAGCAGTGAGGGAACCACCAGAAGCACTGGCAGAGGAAGAGGAGTGCGAGTGGAACACACAGCCCCCGGCAGCGCGATCGCAGTAGGTGCCATCGCAGCTGCCCCCCACCCGCACTGGGTGCCACACCCCTGCAGGCAGCATACACCGCCCCAGGATGCACACCAGCCCCGCCTCCACCTGCTCTCCACCCCCTGGTGCCGGAGCATGAAGCTCCGTGACTAACCAGAAGGCCCTCGGAGCTGGAGATTATTGTCTGTGATGAACAGGGCCTGAATATATACATATTCCTATATACAGGGCCTGAATTGTGCTCAGAAGCCAATGTAGATCTTTAAGACCAGTGTTATAACATCATGCTCATCAGGGTGGAAGGTGGCTGTGACTTTTTAAATTAGTTTTATGCTTTCTGCTAGTTCTTTCAGGGCTGGGATAGCTTCCGCCCAGTTCTGTACTAGGATCTGTGGAATAATGTGCCATATACCTCAAAACACCTTTTTGCTGATATCTCACATCTGATGGAACTGTTCTTTGCTTAAAAGCAAAGATGGATAGTCTTCGCATGTGAGGAGTTTGCAGATGAATGACAACCCTTGGCTAATGAACTTGGAAATGAGAAGAGATTTAAGTCAGCTCCAACAATGACTATAAAAGTATCCAATTTTTTAAATTTTTATTCTAGATATGGATGCCTGCACAGAATGTCCAGAAGATCAATATTCAAACTTCCACCAGAACCAATGCATTCCCAAAGTCATAACCTACCTTTCATACGAGGAACCTTTAGGAATGACTTTAGCTTTGTCTGCTCTTGCTCTTGCTCTGATCACAGCTTTGGTGATAATAATATTTGTGAAGCACCAGAACACACCCATCGTCAAAGCCAACAACCGAAGTGTCACCTACATTCTTCTCATATCCCTCCTTCTGTGTTTCCTCTGCTGCTTGCTTTTTATTGGAAAACCTGGACAGCTAATTTGCTTACTCCGACAAACAACTTTTGGCATCATATTTTCTCTTGCTCTTTCCAGCTTGTTAGCTAAAACCATCACTGTAGTCCTGGCATTTATGGCTACTAGACCAGGATCTAGAATGAGAAAATGGATGGGGAAAAAGCTGACAAACTCTATCATGGTTTCAGGCTCCTTTATTCAAGCAGGAATTTGTACCCTTTGGCTGAGTATTTCTCCCCCATACGCAGATACAGACATGTACTCCGTGAATGGGGAAATTATAGCAGAGTGTAATGAAGGCTCAACTGTCATGTTTTATAGTGTCTTGGGCTATATGTGCTTCCTGGCCCTTGTCAGCTTCACAGTGGCATACCTTGCTAGGAGGTTGCCAGACACTTTCAATGAAGCCAAATTTATCACTTTCAGCATGATGGTGTTCTGCAGTGTTTGGTTGTCCTTTGTTCCTGCCTACCTGAGCACCAAAGGAAAATACATGGTGGCTGTGGAGATCTTCTCTATCTTATCCTCCAGTGCTGGGTTACTGGTTTGCATCTTTTCCCCTAAATGCTATATTCTTTTGTTCAGGGCTGACTTGAATAACAGGGAGCAACTGAAATCAGGAAAAGACTAAGTTATATGAGAATTAAAAACAGATGGCACTCCCCCCCCTTCAAGTATGCAATCTGAATGGTAGAATGAATAGTATAATAACCGACACATACAGTACTTCACAGAGGTTAAATATCCTGAGAAACATTTTTTCTAAAGTTTCTAAAGCTTTCTTGACCTGAAAATAAATCTCAATGATCTTAATGGACCTTTTCTTTCACATTTTAGTGAAATTATTTGCAAGTCAAGATCCACAAGGCGAAGTTGCATATTTATTCCTTCCATACTCATCAGCCAAACAGAATTATTGACTGAAATTTCCATGAATAAATATAAAATAGGGACTGAAGGTAATAATATATTGTTATTTTCTCTCTGTTGGAAAAACGCTACTGAAAATGGTGGTTCATGGACCAGTGCCTGTATGTAAGCAATTGGCTGCTGGTCTGTGGTGATTTCCCAGGAATTCCAGCAGTAGAAAGGGAAGGGAAAGGGCAGCCAAGATAACGAGGAGGAGGAGGAAGAGAAGAGGAGGAGGAAAGAAACTACCTGCCTATCTTCAGGGCCGTAGCTAGGGGGTGGCAAGGTGGCAAGGTGGGCCCCCGCCATGGGGCACAGGCGATAGGGGGCACAAAATTATCTTTAAAATATGTCCTTAAATATAAATATTGATTATTGCCTCATAAGAAATGGTTTTAAATGGAGGGTGAATGGGTGGAGGGGTTGGGGTTGGAGGAGAGGTGGAAAGAAGAGCTAATTTGGGCTTCCGGGGGGCGGCGCGAACGGCAATGGCGGTCCTCTTCTGACGGGAGAGGAGGCTCCGCAGACATCGGGTCGTCCGCTACGGCGAAGCGGAGACCCATTTTGGAAAACCCCAGGCAGCAAGAGCCTGGGGTCTTGAGGCTCGGTGGGCGCCTTTAGCAACCCTCCAAACGCAGAAGGAACCTCGTAAGGGGCTCCGGAGCGTGGAGGGGGGTTGCGGCGCTGAGAGCTGCTTCACAGTCTGCGGAGTGAAGCCGCGCTGCTGCTGCCGGTGAGCGCTGACCCCTTTTCCTGTTAAAATTCGGATTCGGATGAAAAGCAACTTACTCGTGAGTAAAGACTGAATCACTTTAAATTAGAGACTTTAAATGAAAAACTTTAATTTGGCTTGAACTTGGCTTGAACTTGGCTGAAAGCGGAGAGACGTGGAAACAGGAAGTCCGTCTTCCGCAGCCATTGAACTTAAAAAAGCAACTAAGGTGGAGGAGTGGAGGCTGAAAGAAAGAGATTTTAAACTCTACAGAGCCAAGCATCTATTGAACTTATAACTTAAAGTAAAGACATTAAGCTGAAGATTTGGAACTTTTATTTGCACTTGACTTTCCCCCCTTATTGGATTACAAATCAGAAGGTGAAACCCAGAGTCAGGAGCTGCCTGAGCATTGAGAGAGTGAGCTGTCAGTGTTGATTTGGATACTGTATATTGGAACTTGCAACAATCTGAGGGTACTGAGACTTTTAAATTTGAAACATTCTTTTTGGAGACAAATAAGCACTGTCTGTAACAAAGTGATTACTTATAAACTCTGCTAAATATTTATATTTGAAGGTTCTTGGACATTAAATCAGACTCTGAAAGACATTTTAAGCTCCCTCTAGAGGATTGGATTAAAACAGTGACTTTACAAGTATATTTACTTTCGATTCCCTTGTTGTTTGCTTGCTCTGGGCCTTTCTATTCCCGTGGGAAAAACTCAGTGTGACCTTGACTGATAGACAACGTTGGAATGAGTGGCACAAGAAAAAGAGGGAGAGCTAGACAAACAACTTTAACAACTCTAACCTCAGCCTCGCAGACACGCAGATCATCTGTACCTACTTTGCCCTCAGAAGTACAACTTGAAGAAGTTGCCTTGCCACAGGCAAAAGAGGGAGAGGGTGAAGCAGAGCAGTTACAATTGGAAGATATGGCCTCAGGAGTATCTGTTTCTGTTCTAGAAAAAATTTTTGAAAAATTGGAAGCTTTGGACAAGAAAGTAGATGCGCAATCAGCTAAGATTGATAAAAATACAGAATGTCTAAATAAATTAACCATACAAGTGGTACAGAATACACAAGCAATTGGACAGTTAACGGAGGCCTCAGCAGAAAATCGGAAATTGGCTGAGGATACCAGACAAAAATTGGAAAATTTAGAGCAAGAGGTAAGACCACTCACTAAACAAGTTGGGGAACATCAGACTTATCTTTCTATGATAGAACTGCGAAATCGTGAGAATAATCTGAGGATTAGATCACTACAAGAGGCAGAAGAAGGAAATTTAACTGAGTTTTTGACCAAAGAATTTTCCAAGTTCTGGAATTTGGAAGAAAAGGATTTTAAAATTGTGTCAGCTTTCAGACTTGGAAGATTCATAAAGAAGGAGAGGCCCAGAGACTGTTTGATTACATTGAGATCGAAGGAGGAAAGGGATAAGATTTTGGGCCTACATTACGGAAAGTCACTGGAGGTTTTGGATAGAAGAATTGAGATCTATAAAGATATTCCAAGACAACTGTTGGATCTTAGAGCCGCCTATTCTGAGCTTGCTAAACTACTAAGGAGCAACGCAATTCCATTTAGGTGGGAATTTCCCCAAGGAATATCTTTTACCTTTAGAGGGAGAAAGGTCAAAGTTAGAACATTGGAAGAGAGAGACAAATTTTTGGCTACATACGGAGAGGACCTACAAAAAGGAATTGAATTACCTTCTGGGCCTGGGGCAAAGCCAGCATTAACACCAGCACCTGGGGAACTTGAAGATCCAGAGAAGATACCACCCCGGGAGAAATAACCAGATAGATCCAGGATGTCTCTGCAATTGTTGAGTTGGAACATTAATGGTTGTAACATTCCGGAAAAAAGGAAGAAAATATTTCATATATTAAAAAAAGAACAATTGGACATTATCTGTTTACAAGAAACACATGTGACGAGGCTCCACAGAAAAGTGTTAATAAATAAAAGATTAGGCCAGGAATTTGTTTCGTCGGATAAAGTGAAGAAGAGAGGCGTGGTGATATATGCAAAAGAGAGCCTGTCACCTAAATTCCTATTTAAAGATGAACATGGAAGAATTTTGGCTATTGAGATACAATATCAAGGAGAGAAACTGTTGATACTAGGAATCTATGCACCTAATGAAGGGAAATCGGAATTTTACAAGAAGTTGCAGGGGACAATGCTGGACTATCTGGATTACAACAACATCATAACGATGGGAGATATGAACGGGGTCGTATCAACCAACATGGACAAGTCACAAAGTCAAAATGTTACAAAAGACGGCAGACTACCTAAAACCTTTTTGAAATGACTGACAATATGGATTTGATCGACATTTGGAGGACAAAGAACCCACTAGGTAGAGAAGGAACATTCTTTTCTGAAGCCCAACTGACCTGGACAAGAATCGACCAAATATGGATTTCTAGAGGCCTGGCACCTAGGGTCAGAAAAGTGGAAATCTGCCCAAAGACCTGTTCTGACCACAATGCAGTAAAGATGGATATGACACTACTACCAACTGGATCCTTTAGATGGAAGATGAATGACAATTTGTTTAGAGATCAGGAAATTACCAAGAAGGCCCAAAAAGTTTTGAAGGACTATTTTGAGATAAATATGAATAATTCGGTGGAAAAAAGAATCGTCTGGGACGCAAGCAAAGCTGTAATGAGGGGATTCTTGATACAACAGAATGTAGTAAGGAAAAAAACACAAAATGAGAAAAAGATAAGATCTTGGATAAAATAAAAGAATTAGAGAAGAAATTAAGAGTGAATCCAAAGTCACAGCCAACTCTGAGAGAAATTAAACTTTATCAAACACAATATTCTAAATTGATAAATCAGGAAATTGAATGGAAGGTTAAATTAATGAAACAAAAACGTTTGAGTCGGCGAATAAATGTGGAAAACTGCTAGCTTGGCAGTTGAAGAGAAGACAAAGATTAAACACGGTTACAAACTTAGAGGTTGATGGAAAAAACATTCAGAATCCAGTGGATATTAGAAAGTGTTTCCAGAGATATTTTAAAAAATTATACACCCAAGGGCCGCAAGACGAAGTTGAGATTAAACAATTTTTGGCAAAAATGGATTATCTAAATTGTCACAAGAAAACAGGACAATCCTGAACTCTAAAATAACACGACAGGAGATTGAACAAGCTATTCAGAACATGCAACTTGGCAAATCTCCAGGGCCAGATGGGCTGACCTCCAAGTATTATAAGACATTAAAAGACTATTTGATACAACCCTTGATGGAGGTCAGCAATGAAATTATGGAGGGGAAGAGGGCACCGGATTCGTGGAAGGAAGCGTTCATCACATTAATACCAAAGTCAGAAGCTGAAAAGACACAACTGAAGAACTACCGTCCCATCTCTCTTTTAAATGTGGATTACAAAATATTTGCAGATATTTTGGCAAGTAGATTCAAAAAGTTTTAAATGAAGTAATTCATAAGGACCAGGCCGGTTTTCTCCCAGGTAGACATCTGTTTGCTAACACAAGGAACATTATTGACATCTTGGAACTTCTGCAAACAGATATAAATACAAAAGCAGTTTTAATTTTCATAGATGCGGAGAAGGCCTTTGACAATATTTCCTGGAAATTTATGATGGGAAATTTAAAAGAGATGGGAGTGGGACGGGGTTTTGAGAATGGGATTGAGGCGATATATTCAGAACAGAAAGCTAAACTGATAGTTAATAATGTGGTCACAGAAGAGTTCAAAATTGAAAAAGGGACACGACAAGGTTGCCCTATCTCCCCTTTGTTATTTATTTCGGTTCTGGAAGTGCTACTGAACATGATTAGAGGGGATCGGTTGGTGGAAGGAATTCAGGTTGGTCAGAAACAATATAAACTAAAAGCTTTTGCAGATGACCTGGTTTTGACCCTGCAGAAGCCAGAGCCCAGTACGAAAAGAGTATTACAATTGATTAATGACTTTGGTCGGGTGGCGGGATTTAAATTAAATAAACAGAAAACTAAGGTTTTGGGGAAAAATTTGACTGATACAGAGTCAGAACGGTTTCAGAATGAGACGGAACTTAATGTGGTTAAAAAGTAAAATACCTAGGGGTAAACATAACAGCAAACACCTAAGTCTATTTAAGGATAACTATGAAAAATGTTGGACAGAAATTAAGAGAGACTTAGACAGTTGGTCAAAATTGAAACTTTCTTTGTTAGGCCGAATTGCTGCTATTAAGATGAATGTATTGCCAAGGATGTTGTTTTTATTTCAAACACTTCAGGTTTTGGACAAAACGGAGTGCTTTCAGAAGTGGCAGAGAGATATTTCGAAGTTTGTCTGGCAGGGCAAAAAGCCCAGAATCAAGTTTAAGATATTAACTGATGCAAAACAAAGAGGGGCTTTGCCCTGCCGGACTTAAAGTTGTATTATGAAGCCGCAGCGTTCTGCTGGCTAAAAGACTGGCTACTTCTTGAAGACACTGATGTGTTGGATTTGGAAGGGTTTAATAATGTTTTTGGATGGCATGCATATTTATGGTATGACAAAGTTAAAGCAAATAAGGCCTTCAAGAACCATATTGTCAGAAAATCATTGTTTAATGTCTGGACAAAATATAAAGACTTGCTGGAAAATAAAACACCAAGGTGGCTTTCACCTTTGGAAGCCAAGGCCCGAAAAGACCCAATATGGAGGCTAAATGGCCAAAATATTGGGAAATACTAGAAAAGATGGAGACAATTGGAAATTGCAGAGTTTGGAGAAAATGAAAGACAAAGTGCGAGATTGGTTACATTACGCTCAGATTAAAGAAGTTTTTAAAAATGATAAGAAACTAGGGTTCCAGGTGGAGAAATCGAAATTAGAAACAGAATTGTTAGAACCAAAGATTAAGGTACTTTCAAGGATGTATAACTTGCTGTTGGAATGGAATACACAAGATGAAATGGTTAAATCGGCTATGATAAGGTGGGCACAGGACATTGGGTATAATATTATGTTTGAGGACTGGGAAAGGTTGTGGAGTAATGGATTGAAATTTACTGCATGTAACGCTCTGAAAGAAAATGTAATGAAAATGATTTATAGATGGTATATGACCCCAGTTAAACTTGCAAAAATTTACCACCTGTCTGATAATAAGTGTTGGAAATGTAAAGAGTGTGAGGGAACGTTCTTCCACCTCTGGTGGACCTGCCCTAAAGTGAAGGCGTTCTGGGAAATGATTTATAATGAATTGAAAAAGGTATTTAAATATACCTTCACCAAGAAACCAGAGGCTTTCCTTTTGGGTATTGTCAGCCAAGGGGTGGCAAAGAAGGACCAGACATTTTTATGTATGCAACAACAGCAGCAAGGATACTTCTTGCAAAACATTGGAAAACTCAAGATTTACCCACACTGGAAGAATGGCAGATGCAACTGATAGACTACATGGAACTGGCTGAAATGACCGGCAGAATTCGTGACCTGGGAGAAGAGAGAATCGAGGAGGATTGGAAGAAATTTAAGAACTATCTACAAAAATATTGTGATTTGAGTGAATGCTAAATAAGATGCTAGACTAAATAACTGAGCACCACTTAACTTAGAAGTTTTTAAGAAAATAAGTAAGACTGTGAAAGTTTAACTCTCTATGAGAACCATAAGATTATGAAATATTGAAGAGATATAAGAATTTAAATAAGATGATAAATTGCTGACAAAATGTTATAACGATGAAAGTGGGAGCGGGAGATGTGAGGAAGTCCAAAGAAAATGTGAAACTATGTTAAGACAAATGTTATATTGTTTATTATGTTTATTCTTATTGTAAAACCCAATAAATTGCTTTAAAAAAAAAGAAGAGCTAATTTGTCCATGGCTAGGGGGCACAATCTGGACAGTTCTGCCACGGGCGCAAAATCACCTAGTTACGAAACGCTGTTACCATCTCATTGCAGTGGTACCTATTTATCTACTTGCACTGGCATGATTTTGAACTGCTAGGTTGGCAGGAGCTGGGACAAAGCAACTGGAGATCACCCCGTCACGGGCCTCAAATTGCTGACCTTCTGATCAGCAAGCCCAAGAGGCTCAGTGGTTTAGACCAAAGTGATTGTACTAAGAGTTATTATGCAGCGCCAAGTCAGCACCATTACTCCTTTTCATAGACCCAAGAGAAGACAGACAAAGAATGTCCTTTCAATGTTTTATTCACTCTCACATTTGTTAATACACTTATATGTAGTAAATCACTTCAATATATGCATCCTAGTTTCATAATCTAGCACTAGTTGATACACTATTCTTATGCAGCACAAGCTTAAGACTTGTTGATAGACCAAACAGCAAGTTAGAGTCTTACTGAACCATGAGCTTTCTGTTGTTGTAGTCAGATGAGGTGTGATTCTCTGTCAAATATGAGTTGCTATCAAACCTTCTCCAGAGAATTCAGCAGCATTTTTGTGTAAGTTTCTTCTAATATACTAATTGCAATGTAATTTCCCCCTAAAAACCTTTTACAAGAAATTTACACCCTATAGAATGCATCTGTATGTTATTTTCACCAACACATATGACTTTATTGATGTATTGAGTGCTATGCTTCAGCGTCCAGTGTTGTGATGTATCACAGGCTACTGTTTTGTTCATAATGCTATTTAGCATCTATATGAAGCTATTTGTAGAGCTTAGGATGTTTGGGGAAAGCTATCACAGAATCATGGAATTACAATGTTGGAAGGGACCCCAAGAGTCATCTAGTTCAACCCCCTGCACTGCAGGAATCTCAACTAAAGCATCCATGGCAGGTGGCCATCCAATATTTGCTTAAAAACCTCCAATGAAATCTGAATGCTCTGTGGATGAACTTAACTCTAGCACTGGTAAGATCTAGATCTACCAGGCTACATAATGCTGATTACTTAGGACAAAATAATATGTTTATTATTCAGGTGGAAAGAAGAAAAAATCTTCTAGCACTTTTGTTATGCACGATACAACTTCAGAAGTCAACAACACACTGGGATAATGATAATCATACCTGTTAATGCCACTGACATTCAGCACATGCTAGCAACACACACACAAAAACAAGATTCTGAAAAAGAGCTATAAAACCCTTGTATCCTTCAGAACTAGATCCAGGTATCGGCAGGGTTTTGTCATTCTTCTGTTAGATAATCTCTCTTATATGTTAGGTTATATATCAACTTCCTGGCTTTAGAAACTATATTTAATGCAGTAGAGGGTACCATGGAAACTGACATTTGGAAGGGGAATTTTGTCAACAGAATCATGATGGTGATGGCATTGTTGCTTATATTGTTGTGTCATACTGTATGCAAGACACATTTCATTAATTGCAGCATACGTGACGATCCTCTCCCTATTCCTCATGAATTTTACCAATCAGGAGACCTTTTCATTGGTGGGATTGTTTCTCAAGTCGTCTTCCTCTATAATGCACTCTCTTTCATGGAACAGCCTTCACAGATTGTGATTGGCGAGCCTATGTAAGACACCATCCTACTCCTCTCTCTCTCTCTCTCTCTCTCTCTCTCTCTCTCTCTCTCTCACACACACACAGACACACCTTTTTAATGTGTTTAGATCATAATTACCATAACACATTGTCAGAGCTGCTTCCAGATCCTAGCTCACAGAGGATCACGCTAGCCAGCGATCATTAAACAAAAGTCTTTATTGAGTTACAGTTTCCATTCTCAAGCTGCTGCATGCAACTCTACGTCTCATGGTTAGATCGGCGAAGCTCCGTCTGAGTCTCCGCCCCTTGTACACCAACTTAACATCCTAGCCCTGCTCCACCTTTTCCGCCTGACTGTTCTTCTCTGGGTCCCTCTGCCCCCGGGGTCTCTTCCTTCCGGATTCCTCTGACGCTGACGCTGACCCCTTGACTCTTCGTCCTCCTTTCGGCGGGCTTTAGGACCTGGCTCCCTTTCCGTGCTGCCTACTGCGCCACCTTCCTGGGCATTTGAACTTGGCGCGCGCGCCCAACATTCCACCTTCCGTCTGACCGTTTCTTCGATCCCCGATGGAGGTGTGGCCACCCTGACTCGTGCCCTCCCCTGCTGTAGAGTTGCCCGCGCTTGATCCCGGGCGCCCTTCCTCTTCCCTGCTCTCTGGCGGTGCCGCGGGTCCCGATTTCCAACTGCTCCCTCTGAGTCCCCTCTGGCTCTATCTTCCTGGGGTGTCCCCCAGGCTCCCCTTGCCCTGGCCACTGGTGCTCCTTTCTGTGAATCTTCTGATTCACTGGAAAGACTCGGAGATCTCGGGTCGTCGTCATCACTCATCTTTTCTTCTGCCTCCTCCCCCTCGCTCTCTGTTTCCTCCCTTGCCCTTGCCTCTGCTCCTGAACCCCTGACACACATATTTAATGAATATTGCATTTATTTATTGTGGGTCTACTGAAAATGTCATGCTGGCAATGCTTGGACAGGTTAGTCAAGATTTTGCCTTCTATATTCTATTGCTGGGCACAAGGCATTAGTATGCCTTTCCTCATAAGTGCCAATGAAATGAATGATCTGGTATACTTCTGTTTGCCCCTGCAAAATTACTTCTAAGAGGAATGTACAGTGGTACCTTGATAGTCTAACGCCTTTGTTGTCCAACAAATCGGCTCCTGAACGCCACAAACCTGGAAGTGAGTGTTCCAATTTGCAAACGTATTTTGGAAGCCAAACATCTGACACGGCTTCCTCAGCTTCTGATTGTGTATAGGAAGCTCCTGCAACCAATCAGAAGCCATGTCCTGGTTTGCAAACCATTCCGGAGTCAAACGGACTCCCGGAATGGATTAGGTTCAGAAACCAAGGTACCACTGTACCTGTATTTAATTCTTGGCCACACTACTACTTATTTTTCAAAACATTTTGCTCCTTCTTTCCTCATTTCCATTTCTGCCCCTCCCCATGACCTTTCAATTATTTTGTGCTTTTAATCTTTCATTTAACATTATTATGTTTGCACAATGCAACTTGTTTCATTGGTCCTGTTGATTTCAGCCTACACTTCACCCCGACTACTCCCAGAATACGCAGGGAAAATTCGGTTTTATTGCCACAGGCCCAACATCATATTTC